GCAGTAGCCTTGAGTCATGATGTTAGAGATCCAGTACAGAGAGCTTACCGCATGGCCCATTATAGTTTAATCGAATTTGAACCACCCAATTCGCTATCCTAGATTACATTGTGTTGAGATGAGGGTTGGTGAATATCAGGAGTCAGTGAGACTTACGTCGGTGCTTGAGCAGTGACAGCATCAGTAAATTGGGACCCTCTAGAGGAGCTCCCAAGTAGCTGTCAAGGAGCTCCAGTAGCTCCAGTAGTCACAGTAGGAAGTGTACCCATTCTAGTAGGTCCCCAGTAGTCTACCAGAATTTTGAGTAGGCTAACATGATTCTGGGTAGCTTACCAGCACTCTTAGTAGACTACTTGAGACAGTAATGAAGCAGCACTGAGCTGCTACTGACTGCCTACTGCCACTACTAATTACCAACCTCTCAGCTACTCAGGGCTTACTAGACCAGTTTCCTGTCATGAAAATAGTTTATTCTGTAATAAAGCACTATATACACTTGTTATATCTAAGGGTCAGTACAGCACTATGAGAATTCTGGCCAGCCACAGCCAGCTACTCACCACCAACTACAAAGCAGCTGAGATATAAATATGAGACTTACCTGATTACCAGTCAGTAGCACAAAAGAGAGAGGCACTCACCTATTGACCATTAGATACAGGTATAGAAATTCAAAGTCAGTCCTCCTATTGAAAAACTTAGAGGAAAAACTTACCAATATGGGAGGCAGGTTGATCCCATGTTGAAGCAAGCTTGAAGCTCAATATAGAGAGGGAGATTGGGGAGGAAATGTAAGGAAAGATGGGCTGGAGGGGAGAGAACACTTACCAGGCATTTTGGGGAGCAAGGGCAAGGATGAGGGGAGGTAAGATAAATGGAGGATGAGGCTGGGTCCAAGTTACATTCACCACCTGCCTCTATGAGTCTTTGAATTTTCTAGCAGGCTGGATGGGCTGGAGGAGTAAGTCTTGAATGTGATGTCTACAGGAAAACACTGCTATTTAGCTGAATATAAGACTTGATAACAAGTAATGGTTGCTATAATAAGTATATAATATCCCAGGATAAGCCAGAGTATGGGAAACAGGAGAGGGAGTGGAGGTGGCTTGAGCTACTTAGTGTATAGATAACATCTCTTGCTAAACATATGATAGAAAATGGTCAATTAAGAGTATTTCAATCCAGTAGATGCTTATTAAGCTCCTCTTGCTTGGTAGAGACTAGCTTCTGGGTAGACAGTTGATATAAATTTACATTTAAGTAGGAACTGGTCTTTACAGTAGCAAGATAGTAGATTCAATGGACTAAGTAGCTATCTGGTAGATTGATTATTTGGGTAGAAGCTCAGTAGATGGCCTTAACAGGGGTAGATATCCAGTGGAGGGTCCAGTAGAGAAATGATTAGCCACTCAGTAGACCCTTGCTGGAGGGATGTATTTGGGGTAGGTATGGTAGAGCAATAAGTGGTAGTAGATCCCCAGCAGAGGAGCCAGGACAGGAATAGTGACAGAGTAGTCACCTCAGTAGATGGCCCCCATCATTAGTAGTATGAGTAGACATCTATTAGTATTCACAGTAGTTATGATCTCCAGGAAGCGTGATAAAATACCCAGTAGCACTACCAGAGATCTACCATAGTGCTACCGGGATATGGGGCTCTAGTTGGTCCTACCCATCACTACTCGGCACTAGTGACCTGGGGCCCAAATTCCTGATGACCTCAAAATCTATCAAGAGAGCCAAGCTCAAATCTTGTCCCAGAAGTCAAATGAATTACCGCATGACTATAACCTATCTGTTGCCACCA